TGAGAAAAAGGATGTGAGGTTCTGGCTGTCTGTTGGGACTGAATGTCTATTTATTTACGTACCCATTTATTTATTTACTTGCTATTTATCTATTTATTTACTTTACGTCTTTGTAAATAACATCCTACTGTGCCTTTTGCTCACGTTTTTATGTTTTAAATGTATTAAACCCCTCCCAGGAGATTCTAGGAGCGGTGCATAGCAGCTGGATAATTGCTACGGAGCAGCTGAGTTGTGATGCTGTTGAAATCAAGTGAGGATCGTGGACATCCTCTTGGACAAATGTAAGGAATTTGAAAAATTCTGTAAACTTATGTAATATTTGGATTAACTAGACTATGGTTGATGTCTGTTGTAATGATTACTTACATGTTCATGTATGTACGATACTGTATGTCCTGTGGGGTAGAGCCCTGTGTGTTGTCAGAGGCTCGGGATTCTATAGTTTAATTTATATTTTAATTCAGTCGAGTGGGGTTCGTCTGGGAATATGCTTTATTAATCCCTAATCGAGCTCCACGTCACCCACCCCACTTGGGGGGGCGTGACAATATCAAATGGACACTTCACAGTTTGGAAGTAATTTATGTATATAATTACGAGAGTGCAATTCTAAGTTTATTGGAGTAATTATTAGAATTAATTAATTAATTAAAGAGTTTAATTAATTATTAATTTTGTTAGAGCTCAGAATTATAGGTCCATGAGTCCCCGCGCCGTCCTTGTAATTCTACAAGACACTAAGGAAAAAAATGAGAATTTTAGAATTATGGAATTCTAAAATAAAACACTCAATGATAATTAATTGAGAATTAATTATAAATTAAATTACGTTTAAGTTTAAATTTGAATTTTGAAACACACATGTGAAGGTGTTTATAGTGTAACGCACAGTACAGTATGAATCCTTTTGGGATTCAAATTGTTTTGTTGGTTCCCGAATCGAATTCGGGTGCGGAAGCGTGGCGGGGAGGCAGATCGTGTATAACAAAAATTTCAGAAAAACTTTTGAGATACTCTATAGATTATATTAATTTATGCACGAATAAATTAATCGCATTAATTTACATCAAGAACTCAATCCGAAAAAATACCTGTAAGCCGACTCGGATGATAACTTGAATTCTTTGACCACGAACAGTCCTTACTCCAAGTTTGTGTTTAGAATACCAAAGTCTTCCACATCAATTCCTTGATTCCACGTAGACGTGTGTGTGGGCACATGTGAGACAAAACAGGTTTCTTAAACACTCAAATTTCCACAAACACCAACGCATGCACGATGTGGAATTTTTGGAGAAAAATATTTTTGCTCTCTTTTTCTTCAATGAGAAATTCGGCCACCAACAATTAGGGCTGAAAATATCGTTTCAAAAATTGTGTCCACAATTTTCTATCATTCTCATATTTAAAGAGTAGAAGTCAAACTTCAAAACATGATCAAATCCCTATCTCTAATTTGAATTTTGGAACAAAAAATCTCTTTCCCTTATCCACAAGGTGGCCGGCCAAACACTTAGGATTTT